GTGCAAGATCAAGCGGTTGATCCAAATTTACGTGATGGTGATGGTGCTACTCCGCTACATTTTGCAGCCTCACGTGGTCATCTCTCGGTGGTAAGATGGCTGTTGAATCATGGTGCTAAATTATCACTGGATAAATATGGAAAATCTCCCATAAATGATGCAGCAGAAAATCAGCAAGTGGAGGTAAGTGTAAACGAGATTGAGATATGATGTATGGCTAAGATAGTTGAGCTCATTTAAAGATAAACTTTCAAACTCAAAACAAGTTGTTTTAATTTCATTGTATTTTCTTGTGGCTTTGTAGTGTCTTAATGTATTGGTGCAGCATGGAACATCTGTAGATTATAATGGTAGAGAAAAGAATGCTACACAAAGACATGGCAAATCAACCTCAGCAAATAGGCAACAGCAGCAACAACATCAGCAGCAGCAGGCGCAGCAACAACAACAGCATCAAAATGGCAATAACACAGCAATGGGTCATCACAACTCTCACAGCAGTTGCAACAATTCCATGAGCAGCAAACAGACCAGTCGCAGTAATACCATCAAATCGAAAACATCTTCATCAATGAGCTCAGATCAGGAACCATTCTATTTACATCCGCCATCAACTATGGGAGCACGCAGTAAAACTAACGACTCTCTCTATACGCCCCAATCACAACATTCACGCAGTTCTTCGGAAAAGATTTACAATGGTTCATTGGTGCCCAATAATGATGGACTTTATGTTAATCCTATGCGTATGAATGGTATTTATACGCCTCCTTCGCCCAGTGGCAGCATGTCGGGTGATTCATTTTTCCTTCACGATCCCCAGGAAGTGGTATACAATCGTGTACGTGATTTATTCGATTCCGATTCGAGCAGTGTTAAACATTCAAATCCCCATAAGCAACATCATCATCAAAAACAATCCTCTTCCAGCCATTCAACACCCAGTTCTAATGCCTTAACCATACAAGCTGATGTCCATTCTAGTTCTAGTGGAGCTGGCAGTGGTTCAGATGAATCCGTATCCATACCCTCCAGCATGAATTCACCCAAGGTGCAACCCCATAGAAATCATAGTTTTAATCGTCACACATCGAATCATCCCCAACCCCAGTTGCCACAAAGAGACCCCTCCCAGCAACAACAGCAGATGGCGCAACATCACAGCAATAACTCAAGCAAAAACTATAGTCAGTCGCATATTTTGAATAATAATAAAACGAATGCCAATGCCACAACCAACAACAGTTCCAGTAATTTAATGATCCATCAAAATAATCATAAAAATAATAAACACAATGGACCAAATCAAAAGACTACAACAGCCGCATCTAACGCCCATGATCATGATTATGAGGACATCTATTTGGTAAGAGAGGATGCCAGAAAGAATCAACAGAAATACATGATTGGACGCTCGCGCTCCAGAGATAGTGGTTCACATTCTAGATCGGCTAGTGCTTCTTCAACTCGCAGCACAGATGTGGTTCTACAATATAGTAATCATGTAAGTATTTTACAAATTTCAGAATAAACATGTTTTGATATATTTCCATTTTCTCTTTAAGAATCTTAACAATAAACGTGATAGCACTGTACTCAATCGCAACAAATCTCAGTCCATTATTGGTCTGCATGGCAAATATGATGCCGCTATAGCACAACGTTCCAAGGACAACTACAGTGCCAAAAATGTAAATCTAAAGAATCAACTAAATAGTGGCATTAAAAGTGACACCTATGAAAGTGTATGTCCACCCGAAGATGTAGTTGAACGTACCAAACAGGCTAATAAGAATTCGGTAATACGCAATAACCTAGAGAACAATGCTAATGGTAGTGGTAGCTCTCACTATGGCAGTAACACAAAATTGGCTGGACCAAATGCAAACAATATGACAGCGAATGTAAATAATAGCAATCAAAATATTTACAATAGCAGCAATAGTGTTAATAGTAACACATCCAGTAATATGAATAATAACAACAACAGCAGTAATACCATCAACAACAACAACAGTAATAATAATAACAACAACAGCAACAATAATAACAATAGACACTTGAAACGTGTTTCCTCAGCACCTCCAATGCAAAATACTCAAATTGGTAAGTCTAACTAACAGCTGCAGTTAAAGCAATATTGCTCCATTTTCTTTAATTCTTCTATTGTTTATATGTAAACAAAAAGTAGAACACTTTCTTTGTTCTAAATTCTATTTCTAAAAAATAACTTATATTCTTGATTTTTTCCAGTTAATGGTCCACCACCACCTCCTTTACCTCCTCCGTTACGAATACCTTTTAATCAATTTCAACAGCAGCATCAACAACAGCAATCACAACAGCAGCATCACCAACAGCAACAACAGCAACACCAATCCCTTATTTACAATACCAACAACAACAACAATCAAAAGAACAATATGAATTCAGAACATTCGAATTCATTGAATTCTTGTCATCGCGTTTCGAATACTAATTTAAATACCGATAATGGTTTGGATTCAGATTCCGGTTTAGAAGTTGTTGAAGAACCATCTCTTAGGCCATCTGAGTTGGTGCGTGGTAATCATAATCGCACCATGTCAACCATATCAGGTAAGTAGTACATTATTATTTTAATTACAAAAATCTACCTATTCTGGAAAAAGAGTATTTCAAAAAAACGGAATCGTAAGAAAAAGAAGAAGCAATGCCATTTCGTTGCGTTGTAATTGCTTCTATGTTTTTTAATCATTGTTTTAGTGACGTAGACTCGAATCGAAATGCAGAATAGCACAGCTGCCAAATGTAGAATATTTCGATTCGATTTGAAATGCAGAATAGAATTGTAAAGTATTTTCGGAATGTATATGTATAGAAGTTTTTGTGAAATATGTTTGGAATTCTTTTAGTATTTTTCGAAATACACTTTGCTGCTGAATTTTAGGGAGCTACATAAATGAAGATTAGCACATATCTTTTCCGTAAGTAAGAATAAGAGTTTAAAGTCCCCTATATATCATGTACTCTTGAAATTTACCATAAATATATCCTAAGTAAGGTTAGTTTGGTGTTGAAAATGGGCAACATTGATCCACGTTTTCGCCTCCATACAAGTGGCCACCCTGTCAATCAAGTATAACAATAAAATTCGACATAAACAAGTTTCATATGAACCAAAATCTCTCTTCAAAATTTTATGAGGATCGGTTCTTAATTGATCCTTCCACCATATAAGGTCCATTTCAGGAAATGGCTTAATGCTCGTTACAGGTTTAAAAATACGAGTACAGCGTATGGGTATGGGTAGGGACGATTTGAAATGTTCAAAACTTGTATAAAAGTTATTGCCCTAATGTATATGGGCATTTCCACCGAAAAGTCCACTTTTGTCACATCACGTCACGCACATTAATTGACAATATCTTAAGACCATTCCTTTTGATTGGCCCTTACTTTATCCTATGTATAAAGCTATTAGAGCTCTACATAAAGATATAAATAATTTAAATATATATAAATATTTCCCTAGATATAGGCAGTTAATGGTGCGTGACGTGATGTGACAAAAGTAGACTTTTCGGTGGAAATGCCCATATACATTAGGGCAATAACTTTAATACAAGTTTTGAACATTTCAAATCGTCCCTACCCATTCCACATAGAGTATTAAAAAGTACGGCGATAAAGCATATCGCTTTTTCTCGAGCATTAAAAAAGTGTCCGCGGCAAATGCTCCAAAATTTTAAATATTTACTATACTATAAAATTTAAGTTTTGTAATATAAACAAGTGTCATTGTTACACCCACGACATTTATACGGTGCAAAGGTAAGGATATGGGCTGTAGTTTATCACCCTTCAAAATTTTAATACTCAAACATGTAGTTTATACTATTAAAAATTCATGTAAATTTGTTTGTGAATGGTTTTAGAAAATCGATTTGCCGCGGAAGGTTTTTGCACAAAAATGACCCGAGTAACTGGTTTTCGTTATTAGAACACTACTGACTATTGTGATAGGGCATAATTTTGGTTATAACCCCAATACATGTTATGTATAAACCGTAATCTCTCTTAACAAATTTTATGAGGATCAGTCCATAATTGATCCTACCACCAATATAAGGTAAATCGATAGAATTCAATATAAACAAGTTTTATACGAACAAAAGCCTTTCTTCCAAATTTTAAGAGTATCGGTTCCTAATTGATTCTAACCCCCATAAAAGGTTTCAGGAAATAACTCCAACGCTCATGACTGAACTAAAAATACAACGATGAAATTCGACAGAAATAAGTTTTATACGAATCGAAATCTCTCTTCCATATAGTATAAAAATCAGTCCAAAATTTACGCTCTTTCAGAAAACCAGTTTATGGTTATATAAATTGGACAAAAATTATTTGAACATATAGTCGAAATTTTGATATAAATGGAACGAAGTCGAAACGATATGAAGTTCAATATCGTATATTTTCTAAAATTCTTGTCCGATTTTATTAATCTTCATCTCTCATTAATAATTATGTGTTGCAATTTATCAATTTTTTTATTAATTTATGATATTCTTACTTACTTCTTACTGTTTTTGACAAGAAGTAAGAATGTTCGAAAAATCTTAAAATGACCCAAATATAAATTTGCTATGCGTTCTCAAAGAAAATTTTGAAAACAAAAAAAAAAAACATAAAAATGTTATCCCGATCGCGGTAGCCCTTCAGATTCTGTTCCACTGTTCATTTTAAAACCCCGGGGGCATGTTACCTTAATGAACTTCCCCCATATCGGTGTTATTGCAATCCGGATCAAGAAGATAATGTTAATGAAAAGACTGATACACGGTGAAATCTATATTTCAAGATAAGTTCAGTGCTGTTGCCGAAAAAGACAAGAGATGACCGTGGGGCTAAAGTTAAATAGGTTGGTGTTAAATGTATAAGATACAGAATGAATCAGGGGTAGGGATCGAGCCCTCACTTATACTCACATATGAATGTGTCGGATAAATGAGAAGTATGCTGGGTTGAATAGCGGTTGATGTATGATATCTTATTCACATGACACCATAGAATTCCCTTCTTTGTCCAGCTCAGTCCCTACTCAGTCCCTACTCTGTTCGGTAAGAACATTCCTTTGTCTTTTTTAATTGATTTGTATTTCGGTTTACCGAAGGAGCTGTTGCCGAATCAACAAAAACCATCCCATCTGCTTGATTGTAAACGTAAGTGATGTTATTGCATCTCGGATGTTACGCAAAGGAGCAGCAATGGTCAGATATTAGATAGCTCGAGTACTTGAGTGTGGGTAAGGCACACAAAGAGGCGGTGCTGAGTTGTCTAACAGCTCATACAGTGGTTGTAAAAGTACCACCGTAAAATAAGGCCGTTATGCTAGGAGTTCACGTAAAGTACTTTGGCTTATATCCATATCAAAATTCATTGGCAATTACATACATACATTTATCAGTCTATTAGAAATCGTAATTGTTTTTCACTACGAAATTGAATCGAAATATTTTACAGAATCGAAGCAATAACTCTTCTTCTTTACTACTATAGGGAGAGGGTATTATGCGTTTGTGCTGATGTTTGTAATACCCAAAAGTATACCAATCGACTTAGAATCACTTTCGAAGTCGATTTAGCTATATCCGTCTCTCCGTTCGTCTGTGTGTCCATGCAAAAAATATACGCATGCAATTTTCAAGATAATTTGATGAAATTTTTGAACCAAGGACATGTATTTTGATGATATGATGGATCATTTTCAATGAAAAAGTCGATTTCGAATATTTCGGTTGTATTTTGAATCTCAATAAATTCGTATGTGACCCAATTTAAGTTGAATATTAGTAAAAAGGTCATTGTATGATGTATTGTTTGTACAAGATTTTATTTGTATTTATGATTTGCAGTTTTATCGCGAAAAATATTAGCAAATTCATCATAAACTGTTTTTATAAAAAAACAACAGTATTATTTAAAATTAAATAAAACTTTTGCAAATAAGAGATGGCAATAGTGATGGTTTACAGTAAAACAAAATATCAACAGAGCAAATATTTGAATATTTTGAATTTTAATAATTTTATTTTGACGGATATAATTGAAAACAAAAGATTAAATTAACATATTTTCAAAAGACATAAAACAATATGTAACAAAGTACAACAAATAATAAATACACCTGCAAAACAAAAGACTTAAGAAGCAAACATTAAAAATGGCAGCTAATATTTTGAAATAAGACTTATTTTAATTTCACAATAAAAAAAGGTTAAATAAATAAGTTATAATATAAGTAAACAACAAACCTGTTGAATAAAACAAACAAATATTTTTCCATCTTGTATAAATAGTTACTGACTATGAATTTTAATAGATAAAAATCTAATGTTTAAAAACAAGTATGTATTTTGCTGTGGTAGGAAATGTTTATAGATTTCCACAGAAGTATGATGCTACATGATTCATTAAATTAAAATATCATTTTATTAACCACACATCGTAACTTCCACCATCTTCCTCAGCAGCCAATTCGTGTATGTTTTACAAAATTTCAATTAATTGATTTATCAAATTTTTGTCTGCCTTCTTGGCCTCCATCGTCAACAGTGCATGATGCAGTTTCCCAATTTTTAAATAAATATATATTTATTACATAGCAATATTTGTTTTTGTCTTTTCGAGTGTCTGCTGTATTATTTACCGTTTTTTGCAAGTACATTTTTCGTTACAAGACGGACGAGGTTCGCCATCAAAGTGGTAATAACCACATGAACGTTGTTCACCTGTTATTTTTCAAGTAGTTCCTGAGTACTTTTGAAAAAAACTCCACGTATATTGAAATATCTATTTGAAAATATTTACTGTGTCTGTGAGTGTGTAATTATGTTGAACAATGTGTAATAGTATTTTTTCCGAATCTTGTTTATGTTTTATCTACAAATGGCCAATGTCAGGGACCTCAATAATTGTTAAAAAGAAATTGTTTATATTTGTTGACTTTTTTCCAGTATTATTATTATTAGTTAAGACAGGTTTTTCTGTTGATTTAAATTACAATACCAAAAAAAATAACTATTTAAGCCGTATAATAACTGGGTATTTATATGTGTAATTTATATTTAATGGTCAATTGCTTTTGTTTACAAAAATACATATCGAATATATGAAATTTAAAAATAAATAAAATATGATAGATGACAAAAAGATAATTGAATTTATTTGCCAACAATTATGCCTTACAATATGACAGTACCTCATTTAGTTTGGCGAACTTATAAAAAAAAGATAAAATACTTACTAAATATTCAGTCTTTCGATTACAATTTAGATACATGTTTATATAAATGATAGATTGCATGTCTTAGATAAAATGGTCGTCTATCATGTTTTAGAGGTGTTATGTCTATTAAATTGTTTTTAAAATGCTTTGTTGCAATAAATTTTGATGAATTTTGGTTTAATACTTTGCGAAATTTTTAAATAAATTTCAAATGGTCATGTTTTAAATTTTTTAACATCAAAATTTGTACATAAAATAAATATTTGCAATCGAAGAGTTATTTTTTAATTTTATTTACAATCTAGTAGATTTTGTTTATGATGGT